TTGTCCATAATGGTCTTGAACTTGCAATCCTCCTGCATCAGTCTCCCAAATCACTGGGACTACAGGTGTGCCATCACACCTGGCCTCTTGCATTACTTAGCAAAGTAACAAGACAGAAACTTAAATTACTTTTGTCAACATACTAAAATGGAACAGATTCAAATTAAACAAGATCTTCATATACATAGCATTGCCTTTTGTTCTTTGTGCCCCAAGGATTATTGGTACATTAATGTTCTCCAACCTTCTCAGCTTCCTCATCTTTACTGATATGGTAATGCCAGTGCAGCGTTTTTTACTTTATAAGACTTTTTATAAAATATTATTAACAATTAAATTTCTACAAGGCCAATGAAATATCAAGGCCTGTGATTTCTGATTTCCACATTACCTTCTTAAGTCTTGGATTAAATTCTTTTGCAAAGATCTTCACTCTCCCCCATCATTGACCTGGAAGGAGAAAGGTAGTTTTCTTTTCCCAATTGTATTTTTACATTTTCAGTATTGACTTCCTTGCTTAAGCCTGCTTTTCCCCCTGCATTCCTAAATACTGCTAATAGTAAAATCATCGTCCTGACCACCCAAACAAAACACCTGTCAGCTTCCCGACTCCCCTTCCCTTGTCCTTCCTCCCTCCTAATATTATTTACTTAAATTGTGGTATGGATCCCTTGCTCCTCAGTCCACATGCCAGCCTTGGATCCGGCTCTCATTAACCTTTCATTGTTCCATTGTGATTAACTTCCTAACTGATCTGTCTCCAAGATCTTCTCCAATCTGGCCATGATATTGTGATTTATAGAAATATATATATTTCTCTCCAATTTCTGACACAGAACTCCTAAAATCTTTGTCATATCTTGAGCTGGGGGTGCTAGGGGAATCTGTTGTTCTAATAGTTGGTCTTTGACCCCGGTTCCTGACACAGAGCTCCTAATCCCTTAGAATTTCCTGGGTGGAAGGAGTGACTTCTGTTTTAGTGAGGCAAGGTGTGGGCTCCTGGAGGAGGGCTGGCACCAGGAAGACGAGGCCAGGAGAGGAAGTTTGGAACTTTCAGCTCCACCCCACACCCTATCTATCATATGGGAGGGGAAAGGAGCTGAGGGTTGAGTCGGCAATCATTCATGTCTATGTGCTGAAGCCTCCATTAAAAAAAAAAAAAAAACAAACCCTGAACTATGGAGTTTAAAGAGCTTCTGGATTGGGGAACATCCATGTGCTGAGAAGGTGATGTACCCCAATTCCATGGGTAAAGAAGCTCCCACACTCAGGAACTCTAAAGGATTCACTCTCATGTGGCTGCTTATCTGTATCCTTTATCCTTTCCTTTATTAAATAAGAAGCTGGCCAATGTGTTTCTCTGAGTCCTAGCAAATGGTTAAACCTGAGTCAGGGGTCATGGAAACTTTGATTTATAGCTGGTAGGCTCAAAGTATTGGTCACAACCTGGATTGTGTGTTTGGTATCTGAAGTGAGGGACAACCTCAAGAGATTGTGCCCTTCACCTGTGGAATCAGACACGAACACTGGTTAATGTCAGAATTGAATTGAATTATAGGATACCCATCAGAGTCTATTGGAAATTGTTTGTGTGTCCCTCACAGTTTGATGGCCAGGATGTGCTGAGTGTTGAGTAAGATAGGAGGAAAGAGACTGTATTTTTCATTAACACACCAGCCTACACATTGCATCCAGTTATGTCTTCCTAAATCATAAATAGTTTCTGTACAGCTCAAACCTTTAGTGGCCTCTATTACCAAACAACTAATGTGTAAAAAATCTTTCACCTATTCTTCGTGACCAACCTTCAACCAACCTTACCTCCTGCTTTCCTTCTTCACCACATGGAGTGCCAGGAGGAGAAACTATGTCCTCTACTTGAGCACACACTTCAAATGGGGCTTTAATAACTGTTTTTAAGGTTGTATGTCATTCAGCATATGGTCATTCAGCAGTAGTTAAGATTCTAATGGAACACATTAAAGAAAACAGCATAAAGTAAGGCCAAGACACACATAAAAGTGTTCAAATGGTAGCACCATTTTATTCCAGTTTTGGGTGGTGTAACCTACATACTGTAAAGTCTACCCATTTTAAGGGCACAACTGATGAATTCTGGTAAACATATCCTGCTGTGTAACCCCGCTGCAGTCCAGATATGGAGCAGTTTCATCTTCCTGAAACATTTCCTTATGTCCCTCTGTCATCCTTTCCTTCCCTCTCCCTCAACCTCAAGCAACCTGTGATCTTTTTGTCACTATGATTTTGCATCTTCTAGAGTTTCACATAAATGGAATAATATAACTCAACCCCTTAGTCTCTTGAGTTTGATTTCCATTTCACATTGGTTTTTTGAAGTTCACATATATTATTGAACGTGTTATTATTGTGTTACTGTTTGTTGTTGAACAGTATTTTATGCTATGAATATGCCACACTTAATTGATTTTTGCCATTCACCAGTCATTTTCAGTTTGGAGCTATGAGGAATAACACAGCTATGAACTTTTGTACACATGTCTTCCTGAGGACATGTCTTCATTCTCTTGGATACATTACCAGGGGTGGGAATGATGGGCTGGGCATGAGTGCATCCACCCATCTATCCCTGACAACGGGAGAGCACAGTTGGCTGGGGAAGTCCAGGGCCCCGTGCCTATCCCACAAGCTGGAGAAGAGCCCAGATTCTCAGTATCTTCATGGTTCAGAGTCCAAAGTCAATAGTAACATATGAGCTGGTTGGAGGCCTTTTACCTCCTAGGGCTTCACACAGGCAGTTACCTTAAAGGGAAATCCCGTGACTCGGCCCACAAAGGACAAAACTCCCATAAAATGTAACTTCCACTGAAGATGAGCCCACAGACCAGAATTACAGAAACATGAGGATGTCTAGCTCCATACAGACAGTCTCCATAAAGACATGCCAAAAAAGAAAAACCCAAAGAGTAATCTTAGAGGTACTTTAGAAATAAATGTTTAGGGCTGGGTTTGTGGCTCAGTGGTAGAGTGCTTGCCTAGCACATATGAGGTGAGGCACTGGGTTTGAACCTCAGCATCATATAAAATTAAATAAATAAAATAAAGGTATGAAAACTTTTTAAAGGTGTACATTTAACCCATTGAATGTTTAATTTAATTGTTGTGCTTTTATTTTCTGCACCTTCTCATGTGTGACTCTTCTCTTGTTTGTGGAAGCATCCACACAACCAGAGAAGAATCAGAACTATTATAGTAGAAATGCAAAGACAAAAGAATATTTGCTTGGGGGAAGTTTTTAATTCTAAAAGAAATTATAGAGAATCAAGAGGGAAGAGCTGAAAACACAGAGCATCAAGCCTGGAAAGGAACAGACCTGCAGGTTACCCTGTCCCCTCCCACCAGGGAGGGTCCCTAAAGAAGGCCTAGACAAGGTAAGCCAGGAGGTAGAAATGGGCTGAGGCCTTGAAAACAGTTAGGGGCCTGCCCCTGAGAGGACTTGACTTGGGAAGGCCACAGGAAGATGAATAGAACCTGCATGTATGTGGAGGCTGTTCAGGGTGGTCTGTGAGCCAGGGGCCTAGGAAAGCTGAGCCAAAGTCTTCAGATGGCTTGCGGCTTCATGAAGGAGCATCATGTCATCATCAATCTGCTGGGTGAAGGCATCTGATGGAGAGTATATAAAGAATTCCTTATACTGTAAACTCTTGGGTTCCTATTTATTACATGGTCCCCGGCAACTTCGCTCCTAGACGTTGTCTGGAGAAATTCCTACACAGGTACAAAGGAAGATAATGCAACTTTCTTTATAAGGGTGAAGCCATAGAAACAGCCAAAATCTTAATAATAGGAGAATGAGCACATGCCATATAGCAGTCAGAACAATAGATCTAGCAGACAGCAGCAGACAGTCATGAAAGGAACTGGAGACTTTGCAAAACATGTAGAGTAAGAAAAGAGCAAAACAAAAAAGATGGTAAGCATACAACTTAAGTTGAACTTTTAAAATATGCCAGGCATGGTGGCACAGCAGCTGTGTAATCCCAGCAGCTGTGGAGGCTGAGGCAGGAGGATTACAAATTCAAAGCCAACCTCAGAAACTTAGCAAGAGCCTATGTAACTTAGAACTTGTTTCTGAATAAAATATTTTAAAGAGGGCTAGGGATGTGGCTCAGTGGTTAAGTGCCCCTGGGTTCAATCTCTGGTACAAAATAATAATAATAATAATAATAATAATAATAATAATAATAATAATTTTATTATTAAATTATTATTATTATTATTTTAAAACACCAAGTAAAAGCATAAAAATGGGCTAGAAAAGTACCAAACTCACAATAACTTACCTCTATAGAGGGCAAGGTTGGGGTGGGTATAATATTTCATTTCTTCAAAACAACTACAAAAAGAAAAATAAAGATGTGAATTAAATAAGACAAAATGTTTAAAACCTTTAGTTCTGAGTAATAGAAATATACTTTGCTATTGCTTTTCTGTAATTGAAATGTTTCTAGAAATTAAAAGTGAAGTACACATATCCAGATGAAGTCCTCCCTACAGATCCTTTTATCGTCTTCACAAATTCAAGTAAATTGTAAACAACCAGGCTTGATGTTATTTGAAACTATTCTTTTTAAAAAATATATAAAATTTTACACTGGAGGTTTTTAAAGATCTGGAGACTGTGGTTTCGCATGTCGGATTGCAGAGGGCGCAACCGGATGGAATCAGGATGGGTACCGAGAACACAGGGAGGCAAGTCTGAGGCTCGCTGCGGGGTGACACCCGAGCTCGCCCACGCTGGTCCCCCCACCGGCATCCTTCCCGGTTCCACTCAACAGATCCTCTCAAGAAAGCAAGAAAACTCGCTTCGGGCAAACTCCTTTTCCCGCGCCTCTTTACTCTTTGTGGAAGTGAGCACATTCTATAGGCGGAGCTTGTTTGCTGAGTTGCTGTTAAAACTTGTCTCCACACTTACCTGAGCACTTGGCTTCCAGCACCCTGCCTGCCAGACACTAGCCAAAATGATACCTGGAGGCTTGACTGAGGCCAAACCTGCCACTGAAGAAATCCAGGAGATTGCTAATGAGGTGAGTTGGTGCCGTTTCAGGAAAAAGTTGGATATAAATCTCAGTTCATCGTTTGGTCCTGTGTTAAAGGTGTGGGTGAACATGAAAACCAGGGTGTTGGTGAGAAATGTGGCTTTATCCAGCTCTCATGCAGCTAAAAATGGAACACTGAGCTTTCAGACAAAACCTGGAATAATCCCAACACTTGCCAGAGAGACCTCCACCAAGTCACTGTTGCTTGTCAGAGTCTCAGTTTCCCCATTTGTTAAATAACAATTTGTTTTGGATTAGGTCTCTAAGGCTTTTACTTAAATGTATGACTCTAAGATTACTAATTCAGTTATTTATGAAATTTTTCCAATCTTGCTCAGTGAAAACAACAGGTAGTGGAAGTCTAAGGCTGTTGACAATTTGATATACTGGACTTTAAATGCACTTCAGGGAGATGATTTTTAAATGGAATGAATGAAGAACAATATTGTAAAGGCAGTCAGTTACAGACTTCCTTCATATCTGCCTGAATAGACAGTGTTGCAGTCCTTTAATAGTTAGAGGATGATTCAATTAGGAAGAAATAATATAGTATATTGGTGATTCCAGGATCTTATAGACCACCAAATTGATTATGGTAAGAATAGGACTCTAAATGTTTTTAGCAAACTGATATAGTTCAAGTGGTGTTTGATTAGCTCTCACCTAAGTTTGTAATTTATTGCCTCATTTTCTAATCCTTCTTGTTTTTGTTTTGTTTTTTTCCTCTGAATCATCATTCGATGACATTATCTGGCAAACTCGATCGGCTATCTTTGTGAGTGGTAGAGATAGGATCGTTTATTTTTTAGGGCACTGAGAGCTCTAGAAGAGTCCAGATGCCTGGAATTCTACCACTCATTCTTTAGGAATAAATATTTCTTTTTCAGAAGTTTGTTTATTTAACATTAGACCTTTTTATTTTTGGAGAATATACTAAGTCATTAATACTTTTATTCGAATCCCTATATCATATCAGTGTTCCCAAACTTGAATGTGCCCGAAAGTCCCTGTGGGTCTTGATAAATTGCAGATTCTGACTCAGGAGGTCTGAGTTGGACCTGAGATTCTGCATTCCTACCAGGATTGCAGGTGCTGCTGCTGCTGCTATCCAACCTCGCCTTCCTACAAGACCAGAGGTATATGTTATCCTCCAGGGCCCTGGGAGATGAGGCTTTTAAAATAGGGTACCAAAATCAAAGTTCTCAATTTCATTTGGAAAAGTCTCCTGCCCCACTAATCTCAGAGCTGTTATGACTAAACCAAAATAAGAATGTGTGTAAACATGACTCAAAATTTAAAAAAAAAAAAGAAATATGCCTAGGTAAGACACCATAATTGTTTATTCAAATTTTTGTGTGAAATCATCCCTGAATCCCCAAAATCCCCTGAGACTCTGTAGGAAGCAGAGCTGTAAGGAGATAGGGAGCAATAGACATTGGAAATAAAGAAGATATAGAACATTCCAATGATGTTTAAAAGCCTATCATCTTAGTTAGACTCATTACCATTTTTAATTTAACTGTGTGTGTGTGTGTGTGTGTGTGTGTGTGTGTGTGTGATAGAGAGAGACAGAGAGAGACCCATGGGGTCTCACTGTGTTGCTCAGGCTAGTCTCAGACTTGCAGACTCCAGCGATCCTCCTGCCCCTGCTTTTCGAGTAGCTGGCACTGCAAGTGTGTGCCACTGAACCCCGAGAGAATAATCTTTTAAAAAAATAAGAAGCTACTGGAATGCCTTGCATTGTTAACAACACCATCCATGAGCCCTGTCTTAAATTACAAAATTAATTCGACAGTGTGTTTCTTGTTGTGTACCTCAGGCTCCAACTTTGTCAGAGGTATCATGGGAAATAGTTGTTAACACTGCTACCTCAGCCCATAAAGGTGCTTTGAAGTTTTAAAAGCCTTGACCTCCATTCGATCTCACATTTGATCTTTATAACCCAGGAGGTAGAGAGGGCATTATGTCCAATTTTCAGATGATGAAACCATCAAAGTAGCTAAGAGTCACCTGATTAAGAAATTAGGCTCCATCCAGAATTTTTTACTACAGGCCCCTTCCTCCACACAGCATTAGCATGTGGAGAAGCTTCAGGGGTGCAGGAAACACACAGGGGAGGAATAGCAGGGCAGACTGGCCTTCTCACTGCAGGCTCCAGCCTCACATTGAAATCATTATGAGAAACACACATGGATGAAGCATTCGGTAGGTGTATTTCTTGAGTGTCTCCTAGGTGTCTAGCATTGTGCTAAATATCATAGATGCTACATTAAGGTTATAAGACATGGCCCCTGACCTCAAGGAGCTAAAGGGCAATGGGGGAAGCCCAGATATCTAGAACATTAGCCAATTAAGTTCTTTTCATGATCATAGATTTTGGACCAGCAAGGATGTTAGAGATTGCTTGTCAATCCTCCTGACCTTATTACCTTCAGGTGAACACTTACTGTCCGGGTGCAGCTCCTCAGCTGCTAAACTCTCCTTTGTCTCTCATCTGCCCTCTGTGGTAGGAGATAGCCTTAAGGGACAATGTCCAGATTAGTGTTGGAAGGTATAAGAAGTCAGTAAACTATACAGTTTAGGAAGCACTTTCACATCCATTATATCAATTATTGCCCTACAAACAACCCCAAGAGGCAGATGTTATTGAAAGCACCTGATGAGTGAGGACATTCAATCAACTCCTCCAAGATGATAGAACCGGTTGCATTCCCAGGCAGGGCTAGGCTAGTGGGTAGGTGTTGGTCATCAAACACCTACTGTGATGTGACGGGGTTCCAGGGAAGACCTCCACTGCCTGTTGTTTACTTTGTAGGTTTTTTTCTTTTCTTTTCTTTTTGGTACTGGCAATTGAACTCTGGGACACTCAACCACCGAGCCACATCCCCAGCCCTATTCTTTTGTATTTTATTTAGAGATAGGGTCTCACTGAGTTGTTTAGCACTTTGCTTTTGCTGAGCCTGGCTTTGAACTCATGATCCTACGGTCTCAGCCTCCCGAGTCATTGGAATTACACCACTGTGCTCAGCTTACTTTGTAGTTTTGTTCCTTCAACTTTTAAGTGCATTTCTATTTTTAAAATCACCTGTTAAAATGCAAGCATTTTTCAGCTTTTAAAAGAATTGATGATTCTGAGGTTCCTCTCTCCTTATCTGGAAGCTTCTTAATGGAATACCAAGTAAAGGGAGAAGCCCACTGGAGTGGGAGGGAAAGAAGAAGGGAAAGGTCATCACAGGAGAGAGCAAAGTGGCACAGACAAGTAGCAACTGCAGATGCCAGGAGCTGACAGCTAAGTGAAAGAGAGATGTTGGATGAGTTCAGAAAGAAAATCAATCCAAGGGCTGAGAACTGAGAGGATTTATTTTTGAAGGCAGAAGACAAGACAATAGAGATGGAATGGATTATGTACTGAGAGACTCTGGAAGAACTTGAGTCTGAGTATTCTTGGAAGACCTCTCTTCCAAGACTCTCTGTTAGTTGATAATCAGTCATTGCTCTTTCAGTCTTTTCTATTTGGGGAGACAAGTTGTCATAAAGGAAAACAACAGTGGTCATCTCATTCAGAAGGTGCTGATTATGTAGACAACACTGTGTGAACTGCTCTGGCAGGCAGGACAATAAATGGTCCCTGGCCCCAGGAAAATTTATAAAACAGAATAGAGGTAAGAGAGACACATGATGAAATAAAGAGCCATACATGAACCTAACCATGAAAAGCTATGATATATGTAATAAAGGACCAATGGATGGTCCCAAGAGCAGAAACCTCCAGATCCATTATCTTGAATCATATATAAATAACACTGGATTAGAATTCCGTCTGAGTATGTTTATGTGAAGGAAAGAAACCTTATTTTAATAATTATTTTTGGAAATAAGGACTATTATTACACATACAAATATGCATGCATACCACACCCCACCACATACCTTTAAGTCACTAGCCTGCTGAACACCATTCCTGGCAAACACACAAAACATGATTTTTGTATGCCAGTACGCCACACACACATATCTGCATGCCATCCTGGACACACCCTGGAATTCACATATCCTGGTTCTCACTAACCCCAGCCACAGATTTACATTCCCCTCTCCTACCTCAGCCTCCTCCTCATCAGTCACCTCTTCCACTGCCCCACACCCGGAGAACCTGCCATTCAGCCACACCAGAATCCTCCAGGCACTTACCCTCCCATCTCCATCAGAACAAGCTGGGGCCCACTTGGTCACGCTTCCATGACAGGTGGTTTCATACACTCCTCCACCCCTGATTTCCATGACCCTGTGAGCTCCTGGCATTCCAGGCCTCAATTAGAGATCACTCCCATGGCCGCCACCTCCTCCTCAGGTTCTTCTCCAAGATCAGAGATCTCTGCTCAAAGAAGATGAGAACCACAGAAAACTCACCCATCACAACTCCGAATTCACACCCTGGGACTAGCACATTCCTTCGGTCCAATTTGTTCTTCATTTTTGAGAAACCCGTACCTTCTGGTCTCCTCAGTTTCTCAATCCCTCCTGTCCTCCCATGGTCCCTCCAACAGGATGTCTCAGTTCCTTCCCTTCTTGGAAAACTGCAAGCATCTGGTGCCCCAATTTACCTTTTCCCAGTTGGATCTCACCCCTCCCTCTAGTCTTAGACTCTGTCCTCCTTTCTTCAGCCAGTCCCTCCATTCTGAGCCAGCTGACTTCAGTTCTTCATCCTCATAGTCCCTCCTTTCTTCAAAATGTATCAGGTGACAAATGTCCACAAGACATGCCCTACAAGTCCCACCATGTTTTCACACAACTACCCACACTCTCCTTTCTTAATTGGTAAAAATTTCCAACATATGGCCCATCCATGATACCACCATCATCTGTATCCATTCTCTGCATAGTTCATGTGTTTCTGAAGATGTTTACAGATTAGGGAAATTTGCCTGAATGATGGGTGTCACGTGATCCAATCTTCAGATCCTAGAAAACAGACAACACACCAGGATTTATGCGTTGCAGCACTAAGGAAAGCTTGAACAACTCTGGAGTAAATCTATTTTACCAGGTGCTCCTCCATCATGGCTTCCTTCTTTTGACTGGGGGCAAAGTGCCAAACCCACACTGTGCCCCCCAGTGTTTCGGCTACCAATGCACATGGCAGGCTGAGCAAGGGAAACTCCAATTTAGGTTCAGCACAAGATCTGTCCATACCAGCTTCCTGACCATCACTCACAGCTGGCTTTCATCCTCCCAGTGTCCATCCTTCTGAATTTCAAGGTTTCACTGACAAGCTCTCCCGTTTGCGCCTTTTCCTACTCCCCTGCTCAAATCTCATCACCCAGGTCCACAGCATCTAACACTGAACAATGCAAATCTTTTCTACTGGAAAGTGAGAAAGAAGGAGGCTAAAGATTACACATCCAGTGAACCAGAAAACTGGAGCACACCATGTGACAGGTGCCACGGCACCAAGGAAATAAACCAGAGCACTTAGCATGAGCTCTGTCATGGAAAACTCTGGACTTACGATCTGCACATACCATGGAAAGGTCACAAATTTGGATCTGTTCATAGAACAGATAGAAATTAAAAAATTATGATGCAAGCTGGAAAAAAAAAAGTGAGCAGAAGACTGAAAACCAGGACTACAGATCAGATACTTTAGTTTTAGGCAAAAACTTTAATAACTAGGACTGTGAAATTTTTCAACCTTAAGCAATCAAGCTCTCCTCACAAATTCCTTATTTGTAAAATGATGTTAAATCAATCCTGTTGGGAGTCAGTATAGAGACAAACCCTTTCCAACTCAGCTCCTAACTCAGTGGGTACCCAGCATTGGTCACTCTGCCTTTGTCAGCTCAAAAGGGTCAGAACCAGGGGAACCTAAACTATCAAACCCCCTGTCCCACCGGGTCAGCTTCTCTCTTGTCATTTCGGTATTTTCTCTGCGTGTCTTCTCCCCTTTCTCCACTTTGGAGCTTTATTTTCCAACTCAACAATGCAGTCACCTTTATCCCACTGACTCTGAAGGGCACAGGAGAAAAGGGTGGTAGTTTATAGAGTGGCTCTTCAAAAGTGGTCTGAGAACACAGAGTCTGAAAATGTCTACGTCTTTAAAAACAGTTCTGCTGGGTGAAGAGACATCAATAGCAAAGGACTCAAAACGTCTGCCCACTGCTGGGAAGGACAGGATGGCCTCAGCAGAACCCCAGATACCCAGGGGGCTTGATTGAAGCTGGCTGCACATTAAATGCTTTTGTGAGGAAAGCATCTCAAGTCAGAAAGTAAGGAAGTGCTCACAAAACGATGGAGCCATGTCGAGAAGCAACAACAACAACATGATAACAAAGAATAACTTTTAAAGTAAAAGAAATACCCACAGTCATATTAATAGAAATAATCATTGAATAAATGAATAGGAAAAAGGGGACAGGTCTTCCTTCCAGTAGAATTCCAGTTAACAGATATACACCACAGGAAAAATTGCTATCGGTGAGAAACATCAAATGATAAAATTGGTGGATGAAAATCTGGTGAAAAATAGGATAGTTGAACATGTCTCCTCGCTAAATTTATATTAATTACAAAGGAGGGAAAATAGTAACTTTACTGTGGCAGAAACTGACAGACATCCTAAGTGATCCACATTACCATCAGCATTAAGGAAACATGCAGTTCTTGCGGGGATGCAGCAGGAGCACATTAGTTTGCACCATCCTTCGACAGATGTGGATCACTAACAGAGAGAGGATCAGACAAACCCAAACTGAGGGACGTTCGGCAAACAGTTCAGTATTCTTCAAAAGTGTCAAGATCAATTGCCAGGTTTCTGTTCTTGCGACTAAAAGGCTCAGGGGTCACTCCAGTTAAACTGGGATAACTGGGCTGCACTAAATAACCACACAAGGGACACAAATACCTTTTTCTTTGGGGTCGCTGTGACGGCTCCTCTGACCTTAAGAGTCCGCAGGAAGAGAGAGAGCGAGAGCACTTGCTGACCCCTTTTATTGAGGAGAAGCTATTCAAATGAGGCAAGAGGTCAGGTTTCAGGGGCTGAGTCTATCTTCATGATGTCCACTGTCAGCAGGTTGACTGACATCTGGGTAGGCCACATCCAAGGGCACAGTAAGAGAAGGGGACACACACAAGGCACTTCCATGGAAGATTCTATCCTAAACAGGAAAAGAGTTTATATCACAAAGGAACAGGTGAGCGTAGCTTCACCCATGGGGCTATAGCAAGACACACCCATGCACGAGACACTGTCCCTCGAACCCAAGAAGGGTGGGGAAAGCTCTGCCACATTTCTGGGGAGTGTGACTCAGTCACATGTGAGGTTGGTCTCCCACAATCAACAATAAAGACCAAAGAATGGAAGAGACCAGGGAGGTGTGCTAACTAAATGCAGTGTCGAATCCTGAAGCAGAAAAAGGACATTTGGGGGACAACTGGCAAAATTCTAATAAGGTTTATAGACTCCTTAGTAGTATTATACCATGTTGGTTTCTGGTCTTAATGATTATGTTATAGATATGTAAGATGGTAACATTAGGAGAAACTGTAAATACTATAAAGGAATTCAGTATATTATTTTCACAACTCTAAATGTGAAATTATTTCAAAACAATTTTAAAAAAGAGGTAATAATTATTGCTCTTTCTTTTTTTAACTAATCAAAGGCATATATAACTGTTGGAGCTTTACCAGTCAAAATGTTCCTATATTGAATTACCACATAGATTTGATGTTCATTCAGCCTAAAGCAACAAAGTTTGACATTTTAATCCGTGTAATGTTTTTTGTTTTTTTGGCACTGGGAATTGAAACCAGAGACACTTAACCACTGAGCCACATCCCTAGTCCTGTAGCCCTTTTTATTTTTTATTTTAAGACAAAGCCTAGCTAAGTTGCCCAGGCTGGCCTTGAATTTGTGATCTTCCTGCCTCAGCCTCCCAAGTCACCAGGATTGCAGGCATGCACCACCACACCCAGTTTAATTCATGTAATCTTAAAGATAAATGTTTTCTGTTGAAATATGGGAAACAGCTCACAGATCTCATTGTCATCTTTGAGGACTATTAGGAGCATGAGTTTCCCAGAATTTTAAATCACATAAATCAAGCCAATGTAGTTTTAGTAATTTGTTTCCTCTTTTCTTTTTTTAAGGTTAAACCACAGCTTGAAGAAAAAACAAATGAGACTTATGAACAATTCGAAGCTGTAGAGTACAAAACTCAAGTAGTGGCTGGAATAAATTACTACATTAAGGTTAGAGTTCAATATTCACTTTAGCACTCAAAGATATCATATTTCTTCTTTGCTGTGGTGTTTCTTGTTTCACATAATGATTTCACATATACTTTATTGCTTCTGGCTGTCCTAAGTGAAGATGCCTACCACGATACCTTACAAGTGGTAGACTCTGAAATCTGGCAAATGGTGTTGTATTTAAACTACTTTTTCCCTTGTGAATTTAGCTTGCGTATATTGATTCTTAACTTAATTTCTAGAACTTGTATAGGAAAACAGTTCCTAGATGTTCAGAACACATTTATTTTATGGCCCTGGTTGCTTCAGGTTTATGGTGGGAGGGCCCAAAGGCCTGGGGCCAAACCGGATGGTGTCTTAAAGGGTATGTTCCTCAGAGCTTTATGATTCTGTACGTCCAAATAAAATGGATCTTTAAAATGGCTTGAATCATTAGCTAGGAAAAAAATACACACCACTTTTGCCCTTAACTAAGTATTTTGATTAATATAACTTAAATAATTATTTTTACAACTCAAGTAGATCAAACTACTTAAATAAGCAGTGGCATATTTAAAATATTGGTTTTATAGCTATATCAAAAAGTTAAGTGATGCATTGACCCAGTTCTAATGGAAGACTTTTCTTCTAATTTTTTTTTTTTTTTTTAGTTGTTGATTGACCTTTATTTATTTACTGATATGTGCTGCTGGGAATAGAACCCAGTGCCTCACACATACTAGGCAAACACTCTACCAACTGAGCCACACCCCCAGCCCTTTATATTAGAGACAGGGTCTCGTTAAGTTGCTTAAGGCCTCACTAAATTGCTGAGGCTGGCTTTGAACTCGCCATTCTCCTGCCTCAGCCTCCTGAGCCACTGGGACCACCTGTGTACACCATCACACCTGGCTAAAAATCCTTTCAATGTTACCAGAGGGGAACCAGTTCAATAAGCCAGCCAAGGATATATGTGGGAGCCACTCTTGTTCTTACATATTAAAAAGATGACAATTCTGATTTAAAGAAGAATTACACTGCTGGTATAGCTCAGTGACAGATCACTTGTCTAGTATGAATGAGGCTGAGTTCAATCTCCAGCACTGGAACAGCAACAATAGCAGACATTCAAGTGTATTTACTTATTCTTTACTTAGCCATTTAACCAGGACACAGTATGGTTTATTTTTCTTTAACAACAAAAAAAAATCTACTTAAAATACATATAAAAAATTAATATTTACAGTAAATGAAATGCAATAGGTGGAACTAGTCAGTTCAGCATAAGAAAGTTATGGGCCAGTCAGGTGCAGTGGCACATGCCTGTAATCCAAGCTGCTTGGGAGGCTGAGGCAGGAAGATTTTGAGTTCAGAGCCAGCCTCAGAAAAATTGAGATGCTAAACAACTCAGTGAGACCCTGTCTCTAAAATAAAACCAAACAGGGCTGGGGATGTGGCATTCAATCCCCAGTACCCACTCCCCCCGAAATAGAAAACTATGAGCCCGGTACAATGGTGCACACCTATAATCCCAGCAATTGGGAGGTTGAGGCAGGAGGATAGCAAGTTCAAAGCCAGCCTCTGTAATTAAGCAAGGCCCTAAACAATTTAGTGAGACCCTGTATCAACATAAAAAATAAAAATAGGGCTGGAATGTGGCTCAGTGGTTAAGTGCCCCTGGGTTCCATTCCTGGTACAAAAGGAAAGAAGTAAAGGAAGGAAAGGAGGGAGGGAGGGAAGGAGGAAGGAAGGAAGGGAGGGAGGAATGAAGGAAGGAAGGAAGGAAGGAAGGAGGTTATGATACTGGGTTATATAGGCGAATCAATTCAGTCCTACCATATCTGGTCTCCTAGCAAATACCGGACTCAGGTGAGACATATGTGAGGGAAACCCTTTTGTATCCTCAAAAACAATGCCATCATTTTGTCCTTTCTCAACCTTTCTTCACAGCTGGAAAAGAAAGTTTTCCAGTTAAAAATGCTTTTTTTTCAAAGATAGGAATCTTTCCATCAAAACTAAGATCATTTTAATAAGTTAGGATTAATACAAACGCATAAATATCACATATTTACTCCCTTATACATTCCTTTAAAAGCTCATCAAAAATGACCTTGAAAGTCTCTTCCCTTGACTCTGCTACCCTGTCCTATCCAAAGTTCCCTGCTTACTTCCTGTAGTATGGCTGTTGATTCCTTTGAGTTGAGCTACTCTCTAGATTTAAGATCTTGCCAGTGACCTCACCATCCCTTAGTGTCTTGCCTTCCTATCAAGAGGCAGGGTAATAGAATGGAAGGATCACAGCTTTTGGTTTCAGACCATCCTGGGTTTGAACCATTATTCCACTCGTTCTACTAGTCAAAGCCTGTGATTAAAGGCTGTCCTCTGAACCTTAATCCCTAACCTGAACAGTGTGGATAATAATCTCTGACTGCTTACACTCTGCCAAGCACTGTTCCAAGAGCAGGGCGTGTCCATTTCATTTAATATTCTCAATCTACTGCGGCGACCAGCATGATAAAACTAGCAGGTTCCAGCAACGGGTGATGGGAGATTGGAAGAATAAAGACTCACGTACTCAGATCTTGAAGATAAACAGCTGGGATTGGGTGGAGCGCTGCTCTCAGAGAAGAAAGTCTAAAGAATTACACCAGCAATCTTTATTATACATGTCTCATTAATCAGATTTAGGACTATGCAAGCATTATCCTTTGTATTCATGAAAGTTACAGAGTTGGCAACATTATTCAGCTTATTTCTCAGTTACATTCTACAGTTGCAATGTGAAATGTTAGGAGCATTGTGTAGCTCCCAGGAAAAGTCAATTGTTTAAAGTTACTATTATGCGGGCAGAGCTATCAAGATTATGATTGTTTTAGCAAGAGGATTCCTGTATTCCCAGGAGCTGTGTAAAGTAGAGGCTGTAGGACTCTAGCACACAGCCTCCCCATGAAGGACATTACCATAGCAACCAGGCATCCTGCACCTTTGCACAGAAACTTTCCCAGGCACCAAGCATACCACAACTATGAAGTCATCATATACCCCAATCTCAGACACTGGTCTCCCAATCACTGTCACTGCTCTCCACAATCTATGGGAAAGTATCATCTGCTTCTATTGTACCACTGATGAAAAGATTGAACCCTGGTTAAGTAAAGTAACCAACCAAGGTCATAGAACTGTAAGAGCAGAGCCAGGATTGGGACCCAGAGCACTGGCTGTGCTACCCCTAATATTGCTTGCAAAGGTTGATGCCCTGTTCTAAACATAAAATAAGTGCTTTAACAAAACTACACTGTAGAGTGAAAAGATGTTGGAATCTAACAGATCTGGGTTTGAATTTGAGTTCTACCATTTGCTCACTGAGAGATTTATAGAAAATAATCATCTCTTTATATGCTTCTGCATCTGTAAAATGGATATTGTTCCAAATGCAGGTCTGTAATAACAAGTAAATATAATCAGGTGTATAAAATGCTCCTCACCATCTTATAGTATCATAATAAATTTTGATAAATGGCATTTGTTAAAATTAAAGTAGAAAGGGATAGAAGAGCACAATAGATACCATATAAGACAAAACTTTTATTGTCCTAACCAAGAAACAAAGTGGAAATCCTTGCTGTGGTTTTCCAGGTCCTGGATTCATGCCCAAACTACCATCTCAACCTTGATATCAATGACTTTAAGATGGCTTCAACTTTACAAGGGAGGCTGGCCACCCTGTTCCCGCTCAGTCCTAAAACATTCAGTGGGTGTTTATAAAAGTAGGTTCTAATACAGTAGAGGGATGGAAAACATACAACCCAAAATTTTTCAGCATTTCTGATTTTCTAATGTTTTTCAGCAATTCTGATTGTCTTCTCTCTTATCAAGTAATGTGGCAAACAAAGTATCTTAATTTATAAGTTAAAAAAAAGGATCACCAAAAATATAGGCTGCCCCTTGTTTCTGCTCTGTGCATCTTTGGGGGGAAAATGCTACTCTGAGTTGTTATTTGTACCCAGATTATAATAAAAAAACATATAATAAAATAAAACTAGGACTTAAGCTTCTTGTAATGCCATTAGCGTGCCCTTTCTCATAAAATACGATGGAAGCTGAGTGTAGGAACACTGGCCCAGGTCTAGAAGCACTGTTCCAGAAAGGCATAGTGCAGTGAGGTCTTCCTAGATCCATTACTCTTTTCCATTGTATAGATACATATGATAAATTTCCTTTTCCTTTTTTGTCTTATGCCTTTCAGGTGCGAGTAGGTGATGATACTTATATGCACTTGAAAGTATTCAAAGGTCTTCCTGGACAAAATGAGAAGTTGGTACTTACTGGTTACCAGACTAACAAAAGCAAGGATGACGAACTGACTGGCTTTTAGCAGGACATTCCAAAGGGATCTGATTCCTTCTTCTGGCTACTGATTAATGATACTGATAAACCATCAATAAAGAAATATTCCTTTTCAAATACATTATTTCTTCAATTTTTACTCATTTATTGTATTAAATATAAGTGACCTTTTCTTTCTCAAAATCAGTGTTATTACTTTAGGGTAGAAATTCCGTGTAAATTGACATCAGTTAGAAACCTCATAAAAAATAGCCAGGCCTCTGTACTACCTCCACGCTAAGGATTACTAAGGTACATAAGCATTTGGCACTATTATGTTCTCCCAGTGAACTTCCTCATTATAATTATGAAATATTCCTTTCTTTCTCTAGTTGTAGACCTTATTCTGAAGTCTGATACTAATGCAGGTACCACAGTTTGTTTTTGTTGCTATTTAGTGTTTGTATGATATAACTTTTTTTTTTAACTTCTACATGGTTTTTTCTTAAAATAATGTTTATTATAGAAATATGCTTCTGTAAGAAATTAGTCTTAACTATTATATTCCAAAGTAATGTGGTAGCCTTTTATTTTCTTCTTGATTTTTTTTTTTTTTTTTTTTTTTTCATTTTTTCTTTAAAAAAAAAAAAGTTATGGGCTGGGGTTGTGGCTCAGAGGTAGAGTGCTTGCCTAGCACATTTGAGGCCCTGGGTTCGATCCTCAGCACCACATAAAAATAAATAAATAAAATAAAGGTATTGTGTGTAACTACAACTAAAAATAAATATTTAAAAAAAATAATAAATAAAGTTAATAAACATAGGGGTAAAAAAAGTCAGGCCTAACACAATTGGCTAAAGAATGATGCTGTCCCTACTCCCTTAAGATGCTGGGCTATCAGATACTCAGCCTCCTTATTCTTTGTGGTTACTGAGAGCCCAACATTCCATCTCCACTCTCTCTTTTTTTTTTTTTTAATTTTTTTATTGTTGGTTGTTTCCATCTCCACTCTCATACTTTAAAATTAAATCAGGTATTTCACAAAACATATTTTTATTTTAAAACAATCTTAAATGTACAGAAAATCTGAAATAAACCTTTTTTTCCCCCAGATGTTAGAGAGTCAGTTATCTATGGTGATTCTCTGTCATAAATACTAGTGCTCACTAGTACAAATAATGATGTGCATGTTCCACAAAAAGGTTATTCTCCTACAATCAATCAACAAGTATATGAAAAAATGCTCATCATCTCTAGAAATTAGAGAAATGCAAATCAAAACTACTCTAGGATATCATCTCACTCCAGTCAGAAGGGCAGCATTATAAAGACAAACAACAATAAGTGTTGACGAGGATGTGGGGAAAAAGGCACAGCATACATTGCTGAAGGGACTTCAAATTGGTGCAGCCAATCTGGAAAGCAGTATGGAGATTCCTTGGAAAACGGGGAATGGAACCACCATTTGATCCAGCTATCCCCTCTCCTCGGTCTATACCCAACGGACATAAAAACAGCATACTACAGGGACACAGCCACATCAATGTTTATAGCAGCAAAATTCACAATAGCTAAACTGTGTAGCCAACCTAGATGCCCTTCAGTAGATAAATGGATTAAAAAATGTGGCATATATACACAATGGAATATTACTCAGCAATAAAAGAGAATAAAATCATGGCATTTGCAGGTAAATGGATGGCATTAGAGAAGATAATGCTAAGTAAAGTTAGCCAATCCCCCCAAAAAACAAATGACGAATGTTTTCTCTGATATAAGGAAGCTGACTCATAGTGGGGTAGGGAGGGAGAGCATGGAGGATTAGATGAATTCTAGATAGGGCAGAGAGGTGGGAGGGGAAGGGAGGGGGCAGGGATTAGCAATGATGGTGGAATGTGATGGACATCATTATCCAAAGTACATGTATAAAGACACGAATTGATGTGAACACACTTTATATACAACCAGAGATATGAAACATTGTGCTCTATATGTGTAATAAGAATTGTAATGCATTCTGCTGTCGTTTATTTTTTTAAAAATCAATAAAAAAAGAAAAAAAAAGGTTATTCTCCTACATTTGTGAAATACAACCATCAAATCAGGAAATTAACACCGATGCTCTGGTAAAAATGGGAGTTCATAACCCACCTGAATCTAATGTATGAAATATGATATGTCAAGAGCTTTGTAATGTTTTGAACAACCAATAAAAAAAAAGAAATTTTACATGAGTTAAAAAAATTAAATTAAAAAAAAAAAACACTGATGCTCTGCTGACACCATTCAAATTTCCCCAGTTGTCCCAATAATGTCCTTTATTACAAAAAGAACCAGTCCAAAACCATATGTTCTATTTAATTGGCACTTCTTTTTTTAATAACATTTTGAGATAATTTACATACCATACAATTCATCCATTTAAGTGTACAATTCAGTGGTTTTTTAGAATGCTCACAAGTGTGTACAAACGTCACCAGGTCAGTTTTAGAATATATTTATTATCTCAAAAAGAAACCCGTACCCTCTAGCTATCACCTCCCTATCTGCTCTACTTCCTGCTTCATCATCCCTAAGCAGCCACTAATTTTCCCTTCTGTCTAGATTTACCTATTCTGGACACTTCATGCAGAATCACATCATATAGGGTCTTTTGTAACTAGTAATTAGCATCTTTCATTTAGCATGATGTTTTCAAGATTCATACATGTTTTAGCATATTTCAATATTGTATCCCGCTTTCTATTTAATGGAATAATGCAAAATTTATTCTGTAAACATATTAGCATATAGCACATTTTCATTATATATTGAAAACTCTAGTTGTATACATATGCTGTACAAAGTGTTGTGACTTCTGAATACAGTGTGGAATGATTAAATCCAACCAATTAACTCATCCATTCCCTCAAACATTTAATGTGTTTTGTGATAACATTTGAGATCTATTCTTTTGGTGATATTAAAACATGCAGTACTCAATTATTTGCTATATTCATCATGCTGTGATTAGATTTGTTTTTTTAAACACCCAAATCAAACTTAATTCTCTTGTAAAACTGAGATTTCAGACCCTTTGGTTATCCTTTCCCTATTTCCTGCCAACCCCCAGCTTCAGGTAGCCACTATTCTACTCTCTGCTTCTAGGAATCCAGTTGTTCCAGATTCTACATATACATGAAAAGCATGAGATACTTTCGTTTCTGTGTTTGGCTTATTTGACTTAGCACAATGTCCTCTGATTGCACCCCTGCTGTCCCTGGTGAATAGTATTCCATTGTGTATACATATCATATTTTCTTTTGCCATTCATTCACTGATGGACACTTAGGTTGATTCCATAATCTATTAGTGGGGATAGTGCTGCAGTGAATATGGGCAAGGCCAGGAGTAGAATTACTCAATCAAATAGTAGTTTTATTTTTTGTTTTGTTTTGTTTTTTCGAGGAATGCTCATACAGTTTCCATAATGGCTGAATTCATTTGCATTTTCTCCAACAGTGGACAAGTATTTCTCATCAGGCTTCCCTCAGCTCCCCAGCTACTGAAGTGCTGCTATTCCTTTAACAGCTACAGAAAATGGTGCAGGTGCATGTCCTGGTTGCAAATGCTCTGGCTGCCCCACACCACCCGCACCACAGCAGGGTCCTCTCAGCTCCCAGCTCACACTAGCTGGCCTACGCCCAACCTATGGTGTTCTTTTTTTGTAATGAGTTTGTCTGACTTTGGTACCAGTGGATGGTCTCATTAAAAAAAAAAAAAAAGTCTGCAGTTTTCTACTTCAATTTTTTTTGAAAAGTTTGTGGACAGTTGTTATTAGATTCAACCAAGTCTGGAGTTTTTCTCTCATGGGAGAATTTATTACTGGGTCAGTATCCTTAATTTTCTATTATTAGACTGTTAATTCTATTAATAGATTTTCTATTTCTTCATGATTCAGTCTTGGTAGGTTATGTGTATAAACCTAAGAATTTATCCATTTCTTCTAGGACACCCAATTTTTTTTTGCATGTAATTATTCAGGGTAGTCTTTTACAATACTTTTTATTTCTGTGGCATTAGTTATAATGTTCTTATTTTCATTTGTGAATTTTGAGTCTCTTTTTCCCCCTCAGGCAGTCTAGCTAAAGATCTGTTAATTTTTAATCTTCTCAAAAACTAGCTTTAGCCTGGCACAGTGGCTCATGCCTACAATCCCAGCAACTTGGGAGGCTGAGGCAGGAGGATCACAAGTTCAAAGCCAACCTCTGCAACTTAGTGAGACTCTGTCTTGAAATAAAAAAAAGTCTGGGATATAGATAGCTCAGTGGTAGAGTACCTGTAGTTTCAATCCCTAGTACACACACACACACACACACACACACACACACCCCAACTGCTTTTGCTGGCGGATAGGGGTGTAACTCAGTAGAAGGACTCCTGCTTGGCATGAATAAGACCCTGGATTTGATCTCCATCACCCAAAAGAAAAAGGGGAGAAAAAAAAAAGCTTTTGCTGCATCCCACAAGTTTTGGTATATTGTTTTTTCCCCTTTTGAATGTCTCAAGATATTTTCTTACTTCCCTTTTAATTTCTTCATTGACCCATTGGTTGTTCAGAAACACATTGCTTAACTGCCATTTGTGGATTTTCTGAAATTCCTCCTATTATTGATTTCTAGTTTCATACTGTTCTGGTTCAAAAAGATACTTAATAGGTTATTGATCTTCTTAAATTTGCTGAGACATGTTTTGTGGTCAGATGTATGATGCATTCTGAAGAAAGCCCTACGTGTGCTGCAGACAAGGGCATGCTCTGGTGCTGTTGGATGGGGTGTTCTGGATATGTGTTAAGTTCATTTGTCCTAGAGCATTAAGCCCAATATTTCCTTATTGATTTTCTGTCTGAATGATTTGTCCAACAAAGTGGTGCAGTCCCTTCCTATTATTGTATTTCAATCTCCTTCTTCCTTCAGATCCTTTAATATTTGCTTTATATAGTTAAACATTTCATTATTGAATGCATGTATAATTGTTAAATCTTCTTTATCAATTTACCCCTTTATCGTTATATGTCCTCCTTTGTCTCTTTTTACCAGTTTTTAACATGAAGTCTATTTTGTCTGATGTAAGTATTGCTACCACTGCTTTCCTTTGATTTCCATTTGCTTGGAATACATTTTCTACTCTTTCACCTTCAGTCTGTGTGTGTCCTTAAAAGTGAAGCAAGTCTCTTGTAGGAAGATTATAGTTGGTCTTCGTTTTTAATCTATTTATTCACTCTTTTTACTGGATAATATAATCCAGCCACATTCAAGGTAATTATTAATAGGTACTGATTAACTACTGCTATTTTGTTAATTGCTTTCCCATTGTTTTATGGATACTTTGTTTCTATAAAGAAGGTGGAGGCAATGAGGAGAGAACAATGACTTTAGCACTCTAAAAGTTTCTTAGAATACCCCAGAAGTATTCTGCACTGGTCAGAATGGTCTCATCACTACCTGGGGCTGCAAGGGAAGCTGGACACAGTACTACTCTAAACAAAATCAGGATTCTATTGGTAAGGGGGAGGAAATATAGAAAAAGTAGAAAATTTACAGTGTTTTATCTATTCCAAGAACTGTGCCGAGAACCATAGTGCCAGCTCTAGACAAAAGAAGAAAGAGATAAACCAGCATTTTAACAGTGCTGATTTTACACTGAAGTGGGAAAAATCATTCAACCTATAGCAATTATTTTCAAGCACCAGTGGATTAGCTTATACCTCTTTAATGCACCAGGAATTGCAAATTCACCTAGGCCAAGTACTCTCCCCTTTCACAGGGGTGCCCTCAGCTGGCCACTTCATTAAGAATCTGATAGCTATCTTTGCTTAAACCTTTTATTACATTGAGGACTTCTTCCTCAACATAATTCTGTGGGATAAAATAAGGTCTGCTCTGGAAATGCTTAAGTGATCACTGCATTTTCCTTATTTTTCCATGTCTAAGCTCAATAAAAGGAATTTTTAAAGGATCAATCAAATTAATCAAGGGTATTCTACAAGACTACACATAGAAATAACAAGTAACCTTAGTAATCTCTACCATGTTTGATGAGATCACCTAACTCTGGATAGAAAATTCATTTTTTTTTAATTTAAAATGGGACTACACTGTTGATTCATCTACTGTTTACAAGTTATTTCTGAACATGTAAGGCATTATACTACTACAGTAACATTAGTACCTTATCACTCCATTTGAGAATTGATACCTTTGCAGCACAACATATAAAGAATGACTTATTAGAAAAATTCCCTTTTTAATTACTACACTTATTTGGCATATTTCGATCTTTAAATTGTCTTTTCAAAGACAAGGGCATTATGTTCTCCAGTCAGCTGAAAACAATCATTTGCAACCCACCCCTCACCTGTATCCCTGACTTCCAAATCTATTTCTTTTCTTTAGGTGTTGGGAGTTGAACCCAGGGTTTCACACTTCCCGGGCAAGGCCTTCACCATTGAGTTACATTTCTAGCCCTTTTAGAGAAAAGGTCTCACAACATTAAATTGCCCAGACTGGACTTGAACTTCCAATCCTCCTGTCTCAGCCTCCCTGATTGCTGGGATTATATACATGCACCACCATGCCTGGATCAGAGCTATCTATTTTTTGCATGAAACTTTATTGCATCTTATCACACTATATAACTTAAATCTTTACTATTCTCTCCCTTAGCCAAGTGTAAGCTCTTTCAGAGCAGGTTATTTTGACATCTTGTTCAATGTCGTAAAAATGGTGGCTAATATCTGAAATATGCTAGCCATTCAGATATTTTTAAAAATTTGCAATGCATTTGTTTCTTCATATGGCTATCTTCTGCTTTGCCAAGGAAAAGCCAAATTTATTCCTGAACTTTCGCACATTTTGATTCTTGTGAGTGTATCTAAATCCTATCTTTTGAGCAACAAAAGCGAATCAACTCATTGTAAGGCAGTAATTACACAAGACATTTTGTTTCAGCAAGCAAACCTTGGAGAGCAATGTGCCATTTTCTTTCTTCATGTTTGAGGCTTTAAATGACATTCTTGGGAAACTAAACCTATTCATTTGTATTATTGTGCTCCACACTGCCTAATTGCACATTTGTCATAATAGTCTATTACATGGGATGACTCAGGCATCCTACCAATGTAATTGGATTACCTAAGGGGTATTTTAGGAAAAAAAAAAAAAAAAAGACCTGTAATTCCAGAAAGGTCATTTAGAGTTCCTCCCAAGGATCTGAATTCTCCTGAGCAGCATGAGAAATTTTTTGGCACCAGGGATTGAACCCAAGGGTGCTTAACCACTGAACAACATCTCCAGACCTTTTTTGAGTTTTATTTAGACACAGGGTCTCATTAAGTTGCTTGGGGCATCACTAAATTGCCAAGGCTGGCTCTGAACTCCTGGTCCTCCTGCCTCAGCCTCCCAAACTGCTGGGATTACAGGCATGCACCACCACAACTAGCTAGATCTTTATTTTCATTCTTGCATCCATCATCAACACTGGTAATCTGGCCAGGGGTGGCACATCCTGTGATCCCAGGGGCTCAGGAGGGTGAGGCAGGAGGATTGCAAGTTCAAAGCCAGCCTCAGCAATTTAGCCAGGCCCTAAACAACTCAGTAAGACCCTGTCTCTAAATAAAATACAAAAAGGGCTGGGGATGTGGCTCAGTAGTTAAGCGATCCTGAGTTCAATACCAAAAAAACAAAGGGGGCGGGTGCTGGGGCTGTGGCTCAGTGGTAGAGTGTTCACCTAGCACATGCGAGGCCCTGGGTTCAATCCTCATCACCACATATAAATAAATAAAATAAAGATATATTAAAAAAATTGATAACACATGAACTTGATAGAAAATCTTTTTCACTGCTGACCTTAGGGAATTTATCTTGTTGGAATACCATAGTCTCCACAAACATAGTCTAGACTCCCCAGTACATCGTCTGACCCATAAGTCCATGTTTGGAATTTTGCTGAACAGTGAGCACTTTGTTCATTTCCAAGTGCATAATCTGATGTTCAACATAATAAAGACACAGGCCTATCAGAGATCCAGATGGTCAATCTAACAGACCAGAGCCAAGTGGCTTGCGTTCAGATCATTGTAATGGGCAGAATCCTAAACTGGCTGCCTAAAATGTCCCATCCTAATCCCTCACGCTGTGAGACACATTTGTGACTGTTACAAGGCAAAAGTGATTTGCAGATATAATTGATTATAATAAATTGAGGATCACGTCAGCCTAATCACATACAGTCTTTAAAAACTATTTACCTGGCTTGTAGCCAAAAAGGAGATTTAACATAATACTGCCAGACTGAAATAGAGGTTGTTTGGAGAAATGTAGGTGGTTTCAAGGAGCTGAGTGGTTGGTACCTGCCAGCCAGCAAATAGGAACTTCAGGTCTACAACTCAAGGATCTGAATTCTGCCTACAAACTCAATGAAATTGGAAGTAAAATCTCTTCCAGACTCCAACCCAAGATTCAACGTAGCTCTTAGCTGGATTTCAGCTTTGTGAGACCTTAAGCAAAGAACCTAGCTAGTCTAGCCAAGCCTGTCTGGACTTCTGACCTGTAGAACTGTGAGACACCAAATAGGTGTGATATTAACCAGTTAAGACTAACTAGCAATACAAAGCTAATTAATCATCCTGTACTACAAAGTGTTTTTCTTTTTGTTGAGGCATTGGGGATTGATTCCAGGGCTTCCACATGCTGGGCCACTGCTCTACCTACTACTGAACTATACCAACCCAGAGCCAGTGTTTTTCTTCAATAATCAAATTCCAAAATTACAGAATAATTTTACTAATTCACTGAATATCACACAAACCCTTCCCTATCCCTTGCCTTTTCTCAATGTGCTTTCTTTTTCAGTGTCAAAAATTCCACCCAGTGTTAGTTTTTGTATCTAAAAACAAGATAAATTAAGATACTAAGAGAAAGCTTCACTGGATAGCATTCAGCTTATAAAACTCCCTTTTAAAAATAAATGATAAATGTAAGAATGAACTCATCAGTGGCCAAAGAGCTCCATATTTATGCCAAATTGATAAAAACCCCAAAGATATAACTACTCAGATGTTGAAATTATGTGCAAATTCTCTTCTGAGGACTGTCTCAACTTGGAAAACCAACAAATAAATATGTACACTGAGTCAGAAAATTATTTTAATAGTTATAAAACATTTTTTTTTACAGAATCAGTATAAAATAGCAATTGATTATTTTATAATTATCAGAATTATTTAGACTTGAGGTCTTGGCTAAGTGGGGCTGAAATCAACAAAAGGTCTTGGACTGTTGGCTCAGAAATCATCCTAAGAAGCCCACCCTGTTGATGTCTGTCGTGCTTAGCTCTCATGAGATGACCCGGTTCTTCTTTTAAAAAAAGGATCTTTCTTTATTCATTCTTTGGAGGCTTGAAGTGAATTCGGCAGCGTTCATTAAACACCTAAGATATTTAAAAAGAAATGAAAGTCATTTCTGCATAAAGCAGATCTGGAATTAAATTTGATTAGGAGGATGTTATCATTTTTGTTCCAAGCCAACAGAGTTAGCAAACAGAGGTGTTGCCTCACTAGGCCAAACTGACTTTCTAGGTAATAAGTGTACAAAAGGCCTTGATACACATGCAAGAGGTAATTTTAATATTTTTATATTAAATTACATAATTAATTACATTAAGAAAAATTAAGAATCTACTAATTTAGAAATTCACAAACATTTCAGTTCCATATTCCAAACATAGTTTGGACTTAAGTTTAAAATAAAATAAAGCTTTTTTTCTAAATAGGTTTTGTTACTGAGATATTTGTTGTACTTTTCCATCCTTCGTATAAGAAGGTATACTTGCCAGGCAAACATGGCTGCACTCTATGGATTTATATAATTGATTTGTTTATCTTACTTCCTAAAATGCAAAACAAGTAGCATATCATAAATGCTAAAAGTATGCTCTATGACTAAGTGTCAATATAGGACTATTAAATATGTTTTGGTACAGCTATTCAATGAAATAATCTTAAAAATGCTTAAAAGGGCCAGGTGCAGTGTGCATGCCTGTAATCCCAGTGGCTAAGGAGGTTGAAGCAGGAGGATCACGAGTTCAAAGCCAGCTTCTGCAACTTAGAAAGACCCTAAGCAACTCAGTGAGACCCTGTCTCTAAATAAAACACAAAAAAGGGCTGGGGATGTGGCTCATTGGTTAAGTACCCAGGGTTCAATTCCCGGTACCTAAAAAAAGCTTAACAGGAAGATTTTTATGATCTGATTTGAAAAGATTTCCAAGATACATTAAGGGGGAAAAACTTAAGTGTGAACAGTATATTTCAGTTGTGTAGCAAAGGGGGAAATATATACATATAAAATTAAACAAGGTACAAATATATCAAAGCATGTACTATGCTTTCAGACAGGAGAAGATAACTTAGGGGAGAGGGAGTAAAGGCAGAATTTTTACTGCATATGGTTTAATATGTAAAAATTTTAAGAAAAAACTAAAAATTTTGAACACATGTCTGAAAATATTAAGTGTCCAATTAAAAAGAAACTGCTAAAACCTAAAAGAATTTCTTCTCAGATTTTACCTCTATACCCCACGTATGCTAAGAAACAAATTTTCAGGTTAAAAAAAAATTACTTCTGTTAGCTGCTGTTTATTGTGATAAAAATAAAAAAAATCTACACAGAGAGCTTCTAAGGTACTACATGGTATTATTCAACTTCTAAACCTGAATGGTAGGTAAACGAATGCTCATTTGATTAACATTCTCTGAACTGTACATGTTTTCAGCATGCATATCTTAGTTAAAAGAAAACATGTAAAAAGTTTATGACTTTCTGACTGTTTCATCTTAAAATTCATTTCACTCCTATTCCCAGCCCTGACACTTCCAAAGCTCAGACCAGAAAAGGCTTCAAACTAGTGCCCCTGACACACTGATTGGGATGATATAAACAACTGGCTGAGCCTCTCCAAATCCTCCTATATGATTTCCTAATCACTTTTGCTGGCTACTGTACCAGAGCTACATTTTCTTTTTTGAAACAAGTAAAGCCATCACTTTTTGTGAAAAAGTAGAACCTATTTTCTTTACAACTACAAATGGTCTAGCGATATTTTTCAATTCTATGATGGTGTGAAAGCAATATATATTTGGAAGAAACCATAACTTCAAATCTTGATCTTTTCCCAGGCTAGCAATATGTAGAACAATTCTCTCAATGCCCAACTAATTGTAGTTTTAATATAAGTATCCTGAGAACACTTAATTTAGGATAGGCTATACTATGATGTCTGGTAGGTCAAGTGTCATTTTCAACTAAGGATACTTTCAATTTATGATGGGTTTTATCAGGATGTAACCCCTCATAAGTCAAGAGCATCTGTGATATCAAATCAAAACATGTTTCACCCTTCCTACTACATTTTATATATATCATAATCCTCTGCACTGGGTTTTACAAGATAGATATTCACTGTGCCCCTCTCCATCCTATTCCAAGAATAAATATTACTTTACCAGAGAATATTTCCAGACAAATGGTGACAAAATCTTTCAAGTAGCCTAACCTTATTATGTTAATGGAAAGGACAGATGTAGTAAATTTTGGTCAAGAGGACAGGATGAAGAAATGAGATAAAGCAAAAAAAGTTATTTTGTATTTTGCAATTTATTCATGACTCAGCATGTTGTCAGTCTACTTTTCCCCTCAAGATTGATGTAATTATTAAATGACAAAGGAAAAATAACATGCTATATATGTTAGTTACAAATAGTAGGTAGAAGATGACTTCTCTTGTGATAAAATGTTTAGTGATTAAATATTCTTCCTTTTGCTTTTGTGTATCTTTAAAAGCATGACTATTTCTGAAACAGTCAATCAAAGAAAAGGAAATGAAGAGGGAAAAACATTTACTAAATGGCAAGAGTTAGGAATCCAAGAGGCCAAGCCAAATGACCAGAAGCCAAGGTCTGAAACCCAAGGTAGACCTAGCCAGGGAGACAACAGTTAAGCCAAGAACACAGTTCTTTTCTTTTCCTGCTGGTATGCTATTCATACAAATGTTTCTTCCATGCTTCATATGCTCTATGTAATTATATCTAATGGGACTCCATGAATATTAACTAGCACTATAGCAAAATGATCCGAGTAATAACCATGGCTTTGAATTCTGGATTCTGGTTCAGTTAGCCTCTCTCTTATAAGGGTTATAACCTATTCCATTAGTTAATTTCAAAAGATAAAACAGAATTTTCAGTTCATTCTTTTAGATTTAATAGGTTTTGCCCTTTGGAAATCTTTCATATTAGAAGTTTACAAATAAAGTCAGAACTCGTGGTTTTTGACTATACGTAAATTCCTGAGATGTGGTTCCCCAATCTAGTTCCTAATCAGAACCACAGGGGTGGTACAAAAGAACATGTGAACCTACAAGCAGTAAAAAGCAATTACCAGATAATAGTAAAGTAAAATTAAAAAGTCATTATCAAATATATTAGAGGGCAAGAAACTAACAGGGTAGCTAATGATATGAAACTTTATGGAAATGAATTATGTACAAATGGCTAATTTTAAAAATAATCTCTTTGAAGGTTTTCAGTTTACTGGAATAAAATTTTAAATATTAAATATACCCATAATTAGTATTAGAAGACATGTAATATCTCCAATTCTATTACCATGACAGATCACAGAATTTTACCATCTGCCTATAAAGCTTTTATAAGATGATTCTATGTACAGGACAATAGCACTCCACCCACCACCACCAAAAACAGTTAAAGTCCTCAACTGCTCATTAGTGCATGTTCTCTATTCTTCTTACAGCCTCCTGGCACTCATTTCACCCTGACTGTCCTTTGCAAGCTCAGTTTCCCTCCTATTTCTCTGCAATAATTGACACTATTTTATACCTTCCAGCTCCTGTCATTTACCACTTCTTCAACATTCAGTTCTGACTGCATCCATTTCAACTGCAGGAAAGAAAAAAAAAATGAAGTTATGCAACATACAGAGTTAAAACCAAACTTTATTATGTTTTCCCAACAAAATTAGCTGCTGCTTGCACAATCACACTATACAAACTATTGAACTATCAGCCTACGTGTCTCCAACTGAAGATTGGATAAATAAAATTGGTATATATACACAATGAAGTTTAATTCAGCCATAAAGAAAAATTATATCATTTGCAGGAAATGGATGAAACTTGAGAACATTATTTTAAGTGAAACAGGCCAAACTCACAAGGTCAAGGGTCATGTTTTCACTCATATGTGAAAGCTAGAGAGGAAAAAGGAAGAGAAAGGGAGGTGGTCTCAGAAAAATCAAAGAGAGATCAGTAAAATAAAGGAAAGGAACCAGGAAAAGGAAGGAAGGGAAGGAAAGGGGAAATACTGGGAATGGTATGGCCAAATTACATCATTATATTGTGTGCATGTATGAATATGTAACCAAAAAGCCCATCATTATGTACAATCATAATGCACCAATAAAAACTGTGAAAAAAAATTCTTAAAAGAAAAATTGTTTTCAAACTTTGCTGCATATTAAAATCAATCACCGTGAGAGCTTTTAAAGATTCCCAAAGGCCTCTGATATAAGGAGGCTGATTCATAGTGGGAGAGGGAGCATGGGAGAAATAGACAAACTCTAGATAGGGCAGAGGGATTGGAGGGGAAGGGAAGGGGCATGGGGTTAGAAATGATGATGGAATGTGATGGTCCTTATTATCCAAAGTACATGTATGAAGACACGAATTGGTGTGAATATACTTTGTATACAATCAGATATATGAAAAATTGTGTCTATATGTGTAATAAGAATTGTAATGCATTCCGCTGTCATATAAATAAAAATAAAAGAAATACAAGGCAAGAGAAAGAAATAAAAGCTGTTGATATTAAAAAAAAAAAAAAAAATCCCAAAGCCCAGCGATGTAGCATATGCCTGTAATCCCAGCAGCTCTCGAGGCTGAGGCAGGAGGATCAAAAGTTTAAAACCAGCCTTATCAACTTAGCAAGGCCCTAAGCAATTCAGGGAGACACTTTTTCTAAATAAAATATAAAAAGGGATGGGGATATGGCTCAGTGGTTAAGCACCCTGGGTTAAATCCTTGGTACCAAAACCAAAAAAAAAAAACCAAAGCCCAAACAGTTCAAAGAAGATATAAAAAAGGCCAATAAATATTATTATTTTCTTTTTGCAGGGCTGGGAATCAAACTCAGGGCCTCATACATGCTAGGCAAGTGCTCTACCACCAAAGTACATCCCCACACCAATATATATATATTTTTAAAGTTCAATCTTACTCAGGTACAAAGAAATACACAAACAATAATATGAAAAAGTTTGATAAAACCTAATAACAGTGAGCAAGTGGGAAAAGATACACTCGTACACATATATTTCAGTAGTGGTATAATTATTCCAATTTCTATGGAGGGCAAATTGGCAGGACTTATCAAAATGTACATTCACATGTCCTTGAATCCAACAATTCAAGTTCTAGAAATTGATTATACAACTATGGATTTGAACAATAGAGTGAAAAAAGAGAGTGGCCAGCTGATTTGGATAGAGAATTAAAAAAAAAGAATCCAGAAGGAAAACAAGGAGAGAAAAAGAGAAAACATTATGTCCAAGTGATTTAGAAAGGTATGAATCTCCACACTTTGATCACAAAGCAACAGGTCTAAGACTAAAATACTAAGTCTAACTTTCTCATTCAGTTTCAGGCTCAGATGACAGGACCCATAATACTCCTAGTCAATCTGATCAGAGGGATGAGCAGCTAGTTAGTTTCAGGAAGAGGGTTTGAAAATAATCAAAAATTAGGAGAAAAGCTGAATGCAGGGGTTGGGGATGGGGGTGAGTGGCAGAGTGCTTGCCTAGCATGTGTAAAGCACTGGGTTCGAGTCTCAGCACCACATATAAATGAATGAATGAATGAATAAATAAATAAATAAATAAATGGGGGAAAAGCTGAGTGCAGTGGCACACACTAGCAACTCAGGAGATTGAGGCAAGATTGCAAGCTCAAGGCTAGCCTCAGCAAATTAGTGAGATCCTGTCTCAAAATAAAAAATAAAAAGGGTGGGGGATGTAGTTCAGTGCCATAACACCCCTGGATTCAACCCGTAGTACCAGGTGAGGGAGCAGGGAAGGAAGGAGAGAAAAAACCACCAACTATAGGCTACAGGTTGAAGCTGCTGGAATTTAGAACCAGAATGACTTTCTCAGACTAAAGCTGAGAACCAACTCAGACAAGAGTCAAGAGCAAAATGCCAGACAGTGAGATAAGATCTGGGCAACCATGAGTCTGAGACCCAAGCCAAACACAGACCAATTAGGAAAACACTTTAGGCAGGAGGCTTGAGGAATTTGCATGCAACACTAATGAGGAACTTGATTCTGATCAGTGGCTCCTATAAACTCTTTTCCTAGACTCAAGAACTAATGTCAAAATGTTCACAGGCCCATATGGCTAGAACTATGGCATGATGGGAAGGACTGCATTTCTGACACTGGACCTGTACTATGGAGCAGTATTACCTCAGTTTCAGATTTTAATGAACCATCCAGTCTTTCCCTCTCCCTCCCCCTCTCCCCCCACTCGCTCCACTCTTGCTCTTGATCTCATTCATTCATTTATGCCGGGGATTGAACAGAGGAGTGCTTAATCACTAAGCCACATACCCAGCCCTTTTGTTTTTTGAGATAAGGTCTCACTAAGTTGCTTAAGGCCTCACTAAATTGCTGAGGCTGGCCTTGAACTTATGATCCTTCTGCCTTAGCTTCCCTGGTTGCTGGGATTACAGTGTGCACTACTGGGCCTGGAAAAAATAGCAACCTTAATGATGAAATGAGATGGACATCATTACCCTAGGTGCATGTCTGATTGCAGGAATGGTGTGACCCTACTTTGTGTACAAACAGAAAAGTGAAAATTGTGCTCCATTTGTGTACACTGAATTGAAGAGCATTCTGCTGTCGTATATAACTGATTAGAACAACAACAAAAAAAGGTTAGTGCTAATGAAATTGACCATTGAAAAATAAACGTAGGTGTCCTCTCTGCCCATATTCTCTCCTTTGGGATAATCATAATAAATAGCTGCTCACTGTGATTAAAAAAAAAAAAAAAAGCAACTTAAAAAAAAGGAGGAGGAGGAGGAAAAGGAGAAGAGGAGGAAGAAAAAAGAAAAGGGGAGGGATTCAGTTGAAGAATGTGAAAATATGTCGTCAAGGTGGTCTTCCTAACTTCTTAAATGTTTAAAGGGATGTTGTATAAAAAGGGTTTTAGGCTGTATAGCTCCAGAAGGAAGATTAAGAAGCAGTATTTACACATTACAAGAGGACACAGTTTGCAATATATAAGAAAATCTTTCAACAATTAGAACTCTCCAAATAGAAGAAAGCACTGACACAGAAGATGCAGTCATCTGTTTTCCCCTGTGTCTTGAAGTAGTGGCAAAACAAATGGTAGAAACCATTGATTGATAGGATATTTAAAGAGGAGTAATGCAACAGTTCCAAAAACTAGAAAAGGAAAGGAAAGGAACTGTTACTGTCTACCAACCAATATGCTAGCTTTTATGTACATTATATAAGGCAGTCCTCACCAAAAAATGAAAGCTTAAGAAGTTATTAAGTAGCTGGGCACAGTGGCCCATGCTGGTCTAAGCAAATGGAAAGGTTGAGGTGAAAGAATCATTTAAGATCAGTCTGGGCAAAATAGTGAAATCTCATCTAAAAAAACAAAACAAAAATTATGAAGTATGAATCCCCATTTATAGACTAAAAATCAAGACGTTTCAGAGCAATTAATTTGCAATGTTGTAAAGAGCAATTAATTTACAAGGTAGATGGGAATTTTTCCCTTAAAGCCTCACAGTCTATGCCCCCCACCCCATCATTTATAACATTGCAGATATTCATTACCTTGTACTATAATTATAATCAGTGCCACCAACAAACTGTTGCTTGAGATGGTTTTGAGGCTCTGGGTCTTAAACAGGTACACTTCCTTTATAAAGGCCACTACTAATAGGTGACAGAAGTTACCTCATTGCTTACATACTACTCATGGTTGCCCTCTAGCCCTCTATGCTCTCAGGCTAGAAAGTAAACCTTACAGACCTCACAGTTTGCTTTCAGACTCTTCCTTGCAGGCATCATCCTGACTTTTCCAGCCCTAAAGGCATAACGACCAGATGTGAGGGCTGAGCAAACTGTGTGACACAATCACTCCCAAATACTCAGTGAATTTGGCTCTTCACCGGCAACGAAGGTGTTTTTTCTAAGTTAAGGATTCAGATAGAGGGCAGGGAAGTTTTACACTAGCATTTCTTTTCTTTCTTTATTTTATATATATAATAAAGAAACATATATATACACACACACACATATATACATACAACATATATATATATACATATATATAGTATGTGGACACAATACCTTTTTTTTTTTTTATTTTTTTATTTTTATGTGGTGCTGAGGATCAAATCCAGTGCCTCACACGTGCCAGGCGAGCACTCCACCACTGAGCCACTGCCCCAGCCCCTTACACTGGCATTTCTGTATATAAATAAAAGAGGCTTAAGCTGGGGTTATGGCTCAGTGGTAGAGCACTTGCCTAGCACATTGTGAGACACTGGGTTCAAACCTCAGTACCACATAAAAATAAATAAAAGTACTGTGCCTATCTACAACTGAAAAAAAAAAAAACAGACTCACTAAAGTAATCAGAATTTGGCTATTAGTCATAACTTCACATAAAGAAATTGACTGAATACAGAGTTGGAAGAGATGGATTAAAGTCCCAGCTCTACCACTTACGAAGCTTGTGAGTTTTGGAGATGTCACTATCCCTGAATCTTGGTTTCCTCATATAGAAAATGAAGAGGTGGAGCATCCCTGAAAGCTCTCTTTTTGATTTCATAATCTTCACAGCAACTTGAAAATAAAAAATTTTAAAAATTCACATCTTTATTGCTTATGTACTACTCATGGTTGCTCTCTAGCACTCTGCTCTCCGGCTAAAAAGTAAACCTTACAGACATCATGGTTTGCTTTCTAAACTCTTCCCTGCAGCCATCATCCTGCTGACTTTCACAGCCCTAAAGCCATAAAGACCAGATCTGAAGCTGAGCACAGTGGTGCACATCTCTAATCCCAGCAGTTCAGGAATCTGAGGCAAGAGGATCCCGAGTTCAAAGCCAGCTCAGCAATTTAGCAAGGCCCTGAGCAACTAGTGAGACCCTATCTCTAAATAAAATACAAAAAGGGCTGGGGATATGGCTTAGTGGTTAAGCACCCCTGGGTTCAATCCCTGGTACCAAAAAAAAAAAAAAAAAAACCAGATATGAGGGTTGAGCAAACTGTGTGACACAATCTCTCCCAAGTACACAGTAGTTCAGTTTTGCACTTTGCTCTTCACGAACAAGAGTCATTCTGTTCTTTGACTTAATATGCAAAGAGTGATTTTTCAGTTTCTGATTGAAAAATCCTCCTGTGTACTTTCCTTTTGTTAGCATCTTCATGAAATACAATATCCAAAGCTCCCTAGACTTTGACCAGTTTTACATAAATAATCTATAAGCCTACATGAACATCAAGGGTGGGGAAAGATGAACATTATAGCTTAAGTTCACTGCCTGAGGAATCCACCATGGCCTGATGAATGAGCAGTTATGGAACTCAGACCTGAAGCAGTAGTCATAAAAAGAGCAACAAAAACATTGGCTGAGACCAGTATCCAGGGAGACACATTGAACCATGAAAGGGCCGCAGCCTGGCCTACTCCCCTGTGTGCACCACAAGAAAAGGGCTTTTCCTTCTATTAACAGCTTGAGAGATGACAAGGTCCCCTTTTTGAAGTTGGGCTACATCTACTCAACAAAGGACAAATTTCACAACTGCTTAGTATGATAACACTGATTCTATTTCACATTGGATCTTCTATCTCCTGACACATAAGGATCTGAAAATTACCTACTGTGCCATCTTAATATACAAACAAGATTTTGATAACTAGACAATGGTCATGTGAGAAAAATTCCCTGTGGAGAACTGCAAATTCGAGGACAGCCTCAGAAACTCAGAGAGACCCTAAGCAACTAAGTGATAACCTGTCTCAAAATGAAAAATAAAAAGGGCTGAGGATGTGGCTCAGTGGTTAAGCACCCCTGGGTTCAATTCCTGGTACAAAAATAAAAGGAGCGGTGGATAAAGTGGTACAATATGTCTAACCTGCTTTCAAAATCGTTCAGGGAAAGAATATGCTGTGTGTTCAGATGTATGAGAGGGAGGGAGGAAGGAGGCAGGGGAAAATGAAGGGAAGAAGGGAAGGTAAAGAGAATGAATTGTAAAGCTGGTGGGGCAAAATGTAAATAAAAGGGGAACAGACAAAGGATACATTGAGTTTTTTACACCATTTTTGCAACTCTTCTGTAAGTTTGGTATTGGTCTATATTGAGCCTCCGTCTTTAGCATTGAGGAACAAATTAAGGAATGGGAATAAAACATGATTATGTGCTTATTTTGCCTACAGCTGCTATACTGAATCCATTTATGAAATGAACATTAATTTACCAATTAATACCTAAATATAATAAAACAAAGTCCACTAAAAAATGAAGCATTAATCTGGCCAATTTTTTTTAAGTAATCATCTCTCACTCTGAATTGTGCATTTTAAAAACTGCCTTTATTTTGAAGGTTATGTTTGGAAAAACTCTGCCTGAGAAATGTACATTGTGTTCAACTTACCTTTGTCTGTTCTTTTCTAAGTTGCTTTAATAACGTTAAATCATCCAAATTCTTTTCTCTCTCTTCACGAAGGTTTTTTACTACTTCTGAGGTCTGGGCTATACAATTTTTTATAACTTTTTCCCTACTAGCATGAGCTGCCATCAACTAAAAGAACAAAGGAATAAAAAGGGAAAAAACAATCATATCAATTTGTTATATTTCAATGTTAAAAAAATGCTTATTTTGGGACTTCAGAAATTTCATATTTTCTAAACCAAGGTATAAAAATTGAATCCATAGAAGACTGTGTTTCATCATCTATATCACATAAAAACAGATAAGAGAGCACCTTAGAGGGTGGAAGTTATGCAGCCTGGGCTCTTCTTCCTCAATATGCCCCCAGTATTTCCTGCATTTCCCCTGTTGGGCTTTTCATCTCAGTCTCCTTTACTTCCGTGTCCCTGTCTCTCCCCACAGTTCCATCAACTGGTTCCCCTACCCTACATCCACCCTTTGGACCACTTATTGTTATTTTTCCTCTCTTTTTGTCTCTTCATTTTTTTTTCAGTTTCATATTTTCAACAAGGAAAATAAATTACAAATTAAGTGATATAGAGGTCTTTGTTACTATAAGGAAATTTGCCTATTAGAGCCTTTTATAAGTTAAAGTGTTAAATATTGATGAAGAAAACTTATATACAAAGCACAGGTTAATAATTGCATCAATTGTGTGTTTTGATCAAAAGTAACAATATCTGACAGCACTCTTTAATAACCATCATCTTGAGTTGGGATTGTGGCTCAGTGGTAGAGTGCTTGCCTGACATGTGTGAGGCGTTGGGTTCGACTCTCAGCACCACATAAAAACAAATGAATAAAATAAAGGTCTATCAACAATTAAAAAAATATTTTTTAAAAAAGTCATCTTCGTGTACCAAATCTAATAATAACTGACATTCTTCATATATGAGAAATGCATTTTAGGTTTTAAGTAATACCTTCTTTATATAACTATTTTCCAATTTGATTAGCAAGGTAATGGTCAAGTTTGAAGCACATTCCTATGATCACAACTGAATTTTAATTAAACCCCCAAATGTATGCATTTGTAAAGTACTGTTAAGTGCATGAACTTTATCGTTCAGTAATGATTTTTATATTTACCTTGAAAACAAAGAATGTAAAGCTAAGATTAAAGGGAATATTCTCTAATAACAAGGATTGCATTGAAATGGTTAAATATGAATACACTTTTAAGATTTGGAATTTCTAAAACTTGTGCTTCATTATAACTTTACATATCATCTCCTATTTGGAAGTGTTGCCCTTAGAGAATGTAAGTACCTTTTCATCAACTATAGAGTAAACTGAGTCAGGGCCTACAGTGAGTCAGGGAGAGTATGAGCAACTTGGACATTTCACAGACTTCTCCTTCCCCACTGAAACAATACTTAAGGGAACTTTGAGATACTTATGAGCTGGGCACTCTACAGGCCTGATCCCTGACACAAGGTACATGGAATAATAATAATAATAACAATAATAATAACCAACAATTTTTTGAAAAACACAGTGCAATAAGAACTTTATGTTAAACTCACTTAATCCCTTAACAATCCTATAAATTAGGTTCTACCACCACACTATTTTACAAATAAGGAAACTGAGGCTGAGAGGTCATATAACATGATCAAGGTTACCCAGCTTAGAAAGTAGCAGAGGAGAGTTTAATCTAGATCTGAATCCATGTTGTCAATCTTGACATTATAAATCTTATGTTAACAGAAGATTTTAAATGGAAATGACTAAATAGTAGAGAGATATGGGGAGAGTATCACAAAGTGATCATAAATTTCTAGTTTTTTAGTCAGAAATACCCAAAGAAACTAAGTGAACTATCAAACAACCTTATGGTAAAATAGAATTTGGACCCACCAAATTATTGGATTCTACTCTTAAAGTCCACATCTTGCAATTTTCCAAAACCATAAGACTTACCTGATCACTCAATAAAATGACATACTTTAATATAACAGGAGAACAAAAGTATTAGAAATTAATGCTATGAATTTAACAGGTAACAATAAGCTTGTCCAGAACTGACATTCTTCATATATGAGAAATGCATTTTAGGTTTTAAGTAATATCTTCTTTATATAACTATGAACATAGTAACCTAGTGGTAGCAGACCTTAAAATAGCAAGTGACATTTGAAGAGTTTCCAAATTAAAGAAAGGATATATTAAATTATAAAACAAAATTTAGCTATATCAGTATCTCATTCTGCCTTTGGAAATTAAAGAGAAATAAAGGAGGTAATGAAAAAATAAATAATTGAGAACCAGAGCCACAAGAAAAGACAATTTATCTGTGGTTTCCTTCTCTCCCATCTGCCATAGGCTTCTACTTCACTTCTTCATGAGTGAGGGAAAGAAGATATAAACTGTGTGAAGGGCTTTAATTATTCTGTACATCATCTGTTTGGCTTTTGGATTGATTCATTCTCGTCCTTGCTCTTGCTACTGTCTTACTTTACTATTGTACTTTCCCCTTCACCCCTTTGTGCATCAGGTCTCCGGAAGTGAAAAACTGCAGACAAAGAGGTCAAAATAGTGACTGCTCTTATTCTTTAGAACCATCTCTTCACAGATTTGCATATAAGATCACAAATTCAATTTATAAAAACCAGATCAAAATCCTTGTACACCCTCAGGTATGGGCAAAGAAACATGAAGATATCATTTGTTTATTCACAGTTTAGATATGGATTTCTTATTTTGCCTGAAAGTAAGTCATAGAAGAAGCACAAAACAGAGACTCAAAAGATAGACTTACAGACTCATAAAGTTGTTTACAGGTTTGGCTGGCATCGATTTTCCCTGCAAAGGAAGCTGTTGGAACCGTAGTGTTTAATTCATGTACTATTCTGTCATCAATTGTCCTCATCACCTTGAGTAATTCCTATATGTATTTAAAATAAAAGAATATAACCTGAATGGAGTAAGTGATAAAAATTAAGTATTTAAGCACAAAACAAAAGTCTTAAACATTTAATAGCTTTTTAATTTAGGAATGTGAAAATCCAGTCAAATATAGTACAACCTAAGAAAATCTTTGTTACAAGGCTGACAGTCAAGTTATATAATAGTAATTCTAAAAGCGGGCACCAAACCTGTCTTCTTGCCTCCACTACAGACGGTCATCTTAAGGAGTAAGACTGTTTTGCTCAAATTTAAATCCCATTTGCAGGCATGGTACTCAGCAAACAATGTGTGTCCTTCCCAATCTCCAGAACACAGCCAAACAAGGTTCTACTGATCCTGATTCCCACACATTCTCCAATATCACCACCGTAACTGTTTGCTCTATGTCTTCTCAGTGATTACTGCAACACAGGTTTCTAGGAAGAAAACTTCTAGAAAAATGTAGTGATTAATTCAAATAAATTAATCTCTACCTCTTAGCTTCTTAGTATTTGACTACGATAGTGTATTATTTTTGTGATACAAATAAGTAAAACAAAACATGCTACTAGAGATCAAATCTTGTCATGGGATTCTTCTTCACGAACAAGTAGGAATTAGTTTTCTTGTTCTTAGTAACCCCGACTCCCATTTCTGAAGTTTCCCCTGCCCCTCAAAAAGCATCCAATTTTCAAAATGCAAACCAAAGAAAAATAATAACAAAAGGGCAAGGAACTTAGAAGGCTGCTGAGTACTGCCTGTACAACACAGTCCCTTCCCACTCTTCTTTTCACTTGTTACTAAAGAAAGGATGGGCATCAGCTACATTCTGTCTTCATATATCGTAAACTCTGGGATAAGTTTCTAGCAGTATACCCTTCTCTGTTTTATTGTTTTAAATTTACAGAAAAACAACAGCAAAAACCAACAACACAAACCAAGATCACCATGAATCAAGAAAGGAGAATTATGTAATACTATGTTGAAAATACCTAAGTTAACATTCAAGGTAAGCACGTACTGAAAGCAGTTTTGCTTCAGTGTCTCCTTTAACATACATCCTATTTCTTTTCTCAAACTTACATCCATGACTAAAACCCCTCCTTCATTTTTTCCTCAACCATTTGTTAAAACAAAAACGTTTATTATTAAAGTACTACCTTCATTTTAGAAATATCATTAAAATTTTTAAAACAAAAATCATCCAAAGTCAATCATTATGAATATATACTTTTTTTTGCATTGCTGGGATTCAACTCAGAACCTCACATGCGCTAGGCAAGGGCTCTACCAATAAGCTATATTCCCAGCCCCCATTATCAATTTTAATGTCTCTTTAGTCTTTTTTCTACATCTGTGAATATATTTTAAAAATTGGGTTACTATATAATCAAGTCTTGCTTTATGACATTATACCATGAGCATTTTGCCTTTGTTACTAAAAATGCTTTGCCTAGCATATACAAGGCCCTGTGTTTGACTTCCAGTGCCACACATACAATAAACATCTATTAAAATGAACTGATCTTTTTGGATAGTTTCCTTTGGCTATTAAACCCTCAGTGAGCTTCCTTCTTTAAATAATGGAGTAGTTACAGCACAATAGAGTTCATTCATTTATTAATATCTTCACTCAAAAAATATTTACTAATATCTACTATGTGTCAGGCACCATTCTAAACACCTGGTACAGTGGTGAATAAAACAGAAAAACAGCTTATTTGCTCCTATTGAGCAAATTCCTGGAGGAGGAGACAGACAATAAACAAATACTCCCCATGAACAATCTTACATACTGAAAAGTATGGTGAGAAATTACATAAGTGAAGGCCATGGGATAAAGAGAGACCAGCTGGAGCTGGGGATTGCTTTAGGTGGACAGATCAAGAAAAGCCTCTCTGAAGATGTTAACATTTAAGTTGAAACCTGAATAATGTGAAATGAACCAACTAGATCTAAGGGAATAAGTCAAAAATCATGAGGCAAGAACAAACTTTGGGGTATATGAAGACCAAATATGAAGGACAATATAGACTCTGGCAACAAACACAATTCTGTTCTAAATTAGGCCACAGGGTTTTAGATAAGTGAATGATGTAAAAATATAACTGTGGTTGCTGTGTGAAGAATGAATTGTAGAAGAGAAGAATGTAAATAGGGTGATAATTTAGGAGACTATGTATTTGGTGGTTTAGTAAAGAAATAAAGAATGGTTTGATAAAGTGGTAGATGTAGAATTAGGAGAGGTAGTTGGATTCAAGATTTATTTTGAAGATAAAAATAATAGTATTTGCTGATGAATTGGTAGTGATAGATGAGAAAAGAAAATAGGATGACTTTAGGTTTGAGATCTGAGCAATTGAATATATAGAAATGTTGCTAATTGATGGGAGAACCTGGGGAAGGAAGAGATTTGGAAGGACTGAAAAAAATCGAGAGTTCTGTTTTAACTCACAGGATATATACAGTTAATTGGAGGTTACCTGGTATTGTGTTTAAAAATTATGATCTTTTGGGCTGGGGATTTAGCTCAGTTGGTAGAGTTTTGTTTTGAATGCACAAGGCCTTGGATTTAATCCCCAGCACCACACACACACACACACACACAAAAAAAAAAAATTATAATCTTTTACTGAAAATATTTATAGGAAAAAAAAAAAAGATATGATGCCTGGAATGTGCTTCAAAATAATATGGCAAGAGGAGGCAAGTGGTAGTAGTATACTGAATAGATTGAAAAAAAAATGGCCATGAATTGATTGTTAGAGTTGGGAGTTGTATACACAGGGGTTTTCAAAGTACTATTTCTTCTTTAGCATGTTTAAATTTTTTTTAAAAAAAAATTTATTTGTTTATTTATTTATTTTTTAGTTTTCGGCAGACACAACCTCTTTATTTGTATGTGGTGCTGAGGATCGAACCTGGGCCGCAAGCATGCCAGGCGAGCATGCTACCGCTGAGCCACATCCCCAGCCCTTAGCATGTTTAAAATTTTGTCAAAAAAATACTTTAAGGCTGGTTGCAGTGGCACATGCCTGTAATCCCAGTTGGCTTGGGAGGCTGAGGCAGGAGGATTGCAAGTTCAAAGCTAGCCTCAACAAAAGTGAGGCACTAAGCAACTCAGTGAAACTCTTGTCTCTAAATAAAATACAAAAACAGGCTGGGGTTGTGGTTCAGTGGTGGAGTGCCCCTGAGTTCAAACAAACAAACAAAAAAACTGTAAAAAAAAAAAAAAAAGTTCTGTTTTTGACTTGTTCAGTTTGAGTTATCTGTTAAAGTATCTGAGAAAGTTAAACATAGTCTGACACTGCTCAGGCTAGAATTACATGAACAAATTTATGTTATTTAAAGTCATGACACTTGAGGAGCTAGAGATAGAGCTCAGTCAGTAGAGTGCATGCAATGCACAAGGCCCTGAGTTCAATCCCAGCACCAAAAAAAAAAAAAAAACCAGAGAGAGAAAAGAAAAGTCATGACCTTTAAAAAGGTCACTGGGGGAGATTGTAGGGAATGAAGTGGACCAATGATCAAGAAGAAACTAGTGGGCTGGGGTTGCAACTCAGTGGTACAATACTTGCCTCATATGCATGAGGCACTGGGTTCAATCCTCATCACCACATAAAAATAAAAAAAAAGATATAGTATCTAACTAAAACTAAAAAGTAAATATAAAAAAAAAAAAAAAGAAGAAACTAGTGCCTAAAAGTAGAGGGGAAAGTCTGTGATATCAAAGAAGTCGAGAATAAATTCCACTTAATTTTATTATGAAGTCAAGAATCACATGGACTGGCCAGGCACAGTGGTACACGACTATAATCAACTTGGGAGGCTGAGGCAGGAGGATTGCAAGTTCAAAGCAGCCTCAGCAACTCAGTGAGGCCCTGAGCAACTTAGCAAGACCCTGTCTCAAAATAAAAAATAAAAAATGGGCTGGGGATGTGGTTCAGTGTTTAAGCACTACTGGGTTCAATCCCTGGTACCCCCTGCTCAAAAAAAGAATTACATGGTCTGACCTTGATGAGAGCTATTTAACAGAATGTTAAATGACTGAAATTTTGATTTGGCCTAGGTGCAGAGAGTGAGAGAAAACATGGTGCAAGATGGGGTCCACTATTATAGGTTATATTATAGGTTGTTAGTATTTCTTGAGAACCCCAGAAAATCATAAGTGTTCTAAGTATAGTGGAGTTACATGATCATATTTGGGTCCTGAAATGTCTGTAGGTGTTAAGAATGGAAAATGAATTGCAGAAACAAGAGTAGAAGAGATCAGTTAGGAAACTGATAACAGTAATCCAGGTGAAAGATACATAGCTTAACATTTCTCAATTTTTATTGACTCTGAACTTCAACCAGTTATGAATTTCAACACTGGCTATACCTTAATCACTACAAATTCCCCTTCAATAAAACAATATGGACATACTACTAAAGTCCATACTTAACAATGAGAGTTTTCCTGCATTAACTAGGTAATGAATCAATTTTGCAGTCTTACAAATAAAACCTACAAATGTGGACTATCAAATATATCAATTTTTCTCTGTGTACTACTGAATTACCAGTGTATGATCTAGAGCTTGTCTTTTAATATGGCAGATACTAGTCACATATGGTCATTAAAATAAAACAATTTAAAATTAATTCCTCAGTTGCACTAGCACATTTTAAATGCTGAAGAGCGAGATGTCACTATGTTGATAGCATAAATGTGGAGTAATTCCATCATCACAGAAGATTCTACCGGATAGTACTGTAATATATAAAATAAAACAACAATCTCTAAACTGGTAAAGGACTTGTTCAGAGGTTGCTGAGAATTATAAGCTGTAAATAGATTTCAGAGAAAGATGTAAGGCTAAAGAGAAGGGAAGGAAAGAACTATAAACCACTTCAGCAGGCTTATGTTTCCTTCAGTGGGAAAAATACCAGAGCTCTTAAAGCAACTCCAGGAGGGTCTAAGGAAAAGGCTAGGTGGCTTTTATAGACTGAGAGCAA